GCACCCCATGATCCTACTGGCCTTCTTGGCAGCCAGGGCACACTGCTGGCTCATGGTCACCCTGTTGTCCCCCAGGACACCCAGGTCCCTCTCCACAGAGCTGCTCTCCAGCAGGTCCACCCCAGCCTGTACTGGTACCAGCCCAGATCTGCTCAGTAGGCAGAGTGCTGCAGTGGTATCAGTTAACGTCCTCGTAGGCAAAAGTGACATTTACACCCTTCCAACAGCCTAAGCGTGCTTGCCAAGGCGCCAAACAGCAGCTGTAGGAGAACAGGATTCCACGATTCCATCACACAACAAGTGGTTAAGGGCCCGACTCAGGAAACAAGTGGCAAGACTAACACCCACCCACCCCCCCAGAACTGGTAAGCAGTGGTGGGGCTCCTGAGCCTCACCAAGCCACCACCACAATTCAAACTAACGCTTCGAATCCCGTGTTAACATTTGTGCTCCCAAATTCTGTTAATTTAGTTTACATCAAAGTAGGAACTTGGAATCTTTTAAAAACTTCAACAATTAATTCCTTACCCTTCGTTTCAACAAAGGAAAAACTCTAAGCTGAGCCCAGTGTTTACAAGAAGCACAGAAGTCTACAACTATTTTAAAGCCGTAGCGCTTCAAATTCAGTAACGTCGCAGTTTTGGGAGTAAGGAGGACATGGAACTTTAAGAATCCACAAACACCTCTCCACAGTGATCTACACAACCATTGAAGTGCTTCTACTCAACAAAAAGAGAAAAAGGGGCACGAATTCTGCCGGTGTACGTACTGTCTCTGAGCAGAAGCCCCCCCTCTTCGCCGCCTTGCGTCCCTCGCTCACTCAGGGCCCGCGGCAGCCGCCCTCAGACAAGGCTGAAGCGCGAGGGTCTCCTCAGCCCCGGGTGTCCGCCCTGTCTTTTTTCAGCAGCTTTCAGACAGTTTGGTGGCTGAAATCCACGAATCTCCTTCCGTGCCTGGGATGTTCTCTAATAACCCCTTTTTCCAGATTCTTCAGATACCTTGGCAGGGCAGCAAGTTACTGAATTTTACTTCTTTCTGCTCCTGTTTAAAGGTCAGATTACCGATCCCCAGAGATCCCTGGGGTTTATGGCACTTCTGTTTCTACTTTCTGGGTGGTTTTTTTGCACAGCTAGCAAAAACAGTTCAGAAATTCCAGTGCTCCCGATGGAGCTGAAAGTATTTAAAGAATTTGTGGAGCGGGATCTACTGACTGAAGTTCAGAGCCATACATAAATTCGAAGCTTGTTTTTATTTTACAGAAAGCTTACTGCTAGGGACTATTTTGACAGATACCATTAAATCAATCCGCTGTAGAAATCTCTGCAAGCTGAGCCACTGTCTCCCTCCAGCGACAGACT